TTTTTTTTTTTTTTTTTTTTTTTTTTTTTTTTTTTTTTTTTTTTTTTGCCTATTGTGCATGTTACGCAGTAAACTCTTTGGAAAAGAGCAGGGAATTGTTCCCGGTGGACCACCATCACCAACAGGAGTACCCGACAGCCTTCCAACTTTCAAGGGTTACCTCTGATTAAGATTTTTTTTTTGAACCTATAATTTATTTTAAATTCTTTAATGTAATTATTTAAAAAATGCATATCATTCTAACAAATTCACACCACTCCTCTATCGTGAAAAGGCACCCACTCACCACTCTCACTATTATCGCTCACACTACTTTTGCTCATCTCCTACTAAGCCTGCACACATTGTTTCACCTCCCCACCTTTCATACTTATAGACACAATTACATTAAGAACACACATTTTGTATTATCAACATCACTCACACAATGTTTCCAAAGAATAGAGAACTGCAGGACGTCCAACTCTAGTGGTTTCATTGGACCGCAATCATATCTCAGAAAGTAGTACCACAAACAAGGGGGCACGGGGGAACTGCCCCTCCCCCCCCCCGTTTTGCCACTAAATTTTAACATTTTCAAGGCATATATTGAAATTAGCGCTCTCAGTTATCTATTCTCAATATGTTGTGCCCCTCCCCCATTTAAAAAATTCTTGATATCCGCCCCTGAATTAGAGGGCGTCATTCAAAAGAAAGAAAAGGCTTTCGTTCCGTAAAAGTGCTGTGTCGAGTTTTAAAACCCTATTCGAACTCTAATAGGGTGCCCCTATTTCGTGGTAGTACTTAATTAACGTTTTACTGTGTGCATACAAAATCAAAGCAGTTGGATTTCTTACAATTCTATACTCTTTGGTGTTACCTTCACATTCTGTTCCATTTATTGTATACCCAGCCTTGCATTCACATTCAAAGCCTCCGGGAAAATTTTTGCAAAGTTCGTTACTATCGCATCTTTCGGCCGAAACACATTCGTTGAAATCTTTAAAAAATAATTATAAAAACTAGGCATATTGGTATTTACGTATTGATTGTTGTGACGAATCATATTTTCTGGAATTAAATATATTGGCGACACCACAAATAGTTTGGGTTTCAAAACTATACAGATTTAGACAGCTGAGCTGTTGCATCGATTCTTGTATTCAACATTATGAACAGTGGCACCTCACAAGGTTATTTACAAGTTTGAATTAAAAATTAATATTATTGATACAGAAAACATACAGCTCAAAACGATTTTAAACATAGACCTATGTACTGATAGGCATTGTTATATTATTGTTTATAATAATATTTATTATGCATTAACAACAATGTAATTACTTCTAGCATAAACTCTTAGGAATGTTAGTTTTACTATGTTCGAATATTAGCAAAATAACACTGTACAAAATGGTAGGCCTAGAAAAACATAGTGTAACTTAAAGCCCATCACACACTGCGCCAATATTGTTATCACCCAACTGATACAAGTTTGACGTTTTCAAACACCATCTGCTCAGCCTGCCTTCACCAATCAGCAGACAGCATCGCGACGCCAAGTGCTCACACGGAAGGAATATAGATTTGTTGGCCGACTGCCGTACTATGATGCCAGGATTTAGTATACCTTCGCATTCCCCTTCATTTAGTATATATCCGTCAACGCATCGACAAGTGTAGGATCCAATTGTATTGTTGCATTTACTGTTATTAGAACACGGCTGATTGGCACATTCGTTGATGTCTAAACGAAAAAATAAGACTGGTATAAATTATCAAAATTATAATCTGTCAAATCTGTCAGTATAGACAAAGTTTACTTAAATTTTTTGAAGTAGAGCATTATCCGAAGCCCAACATACATGCAAAAAAACAGGATTTGTTTAGTCAGATGTCTTACCTGTCTCTATTTTACACAATTATAAGTCATTGTTATTTTTATTTTATAAAGTTAATTAAGCTCCTAAAATGATTATATTAATAAAATATATTAGGTTACACTTACTGTGATGTATTTTAAGATGTGACTTTATAATCTCTTACCTTCACATACGTAACCAGTCCCGTTGTATCCTATCGAACATGAGCAGTTAAATCCGCCATCAATGTTAACACAATTTGCATCTCCTGAACAATTATTTGTATCGTCAGATAGACATTCATTAATATCTGAAAAAATCACAATAATAGCATTATAGTATAATAATAATAATAATAATAATAATAATAATAATAATAATAATAATAATAATAATAATAATAATAATAATAATAATATTAATAATAATAATAATAATATTTTATCATTTAAAATAATTATAATAAGGTTTTTGCCTCTGGTTCCTTCATCTTCGAAATCGTCAGAGCCTCTGTTGATATATAGCCTACGTTTTGGAAAATATTGGCGCCACCATTTGCTTCAATCACCTACTAACAGTTTGTAATAGTATAAATGATTTTTCAATTTATGAACATACCAGTGCAATTTCTAAAATTGGCGTCAAGCTTATAGCCTTTTGAACAACTGCAATTGTAGCCACCGAACGTATTTATACATTCCATTTCGCATGAATTATTCCCATCGCATTCGTTGATATCTGAGAAATAGCAAAATCCATTAAAATCAGGTTATTAGTAATTATACCATAACAATCTCTAAGAAAGTACATAATTGATAAGTGTCTATAAATATAAATCAAGTGTCTACTTTGGGCTGCGTGTGTTTCAGTGCGTAATTTTACTATAATACAGTTCAAATTTTGGTACCTGATAAAATGATGTGGTCTATGGGTTTGGTCTCCAACAGACGTTTAAACGGACCGTGGTGAATAAATGGAGACCACGGCTAAATGAAATCCAGAGCTAAAACTGTTTTTTTTTTTAAACTGAATAAGTAGAAAAAAATTTAAACTGAAGGTGTCTAAATGGACACCACGGCTAATTTCAATTTCCGTTATTTGATACAAGTGCCATCAAAGGCCAATATCCGTGCAAACACAAACAAAACAAAGCAATACAATTGTAAATATGCATCACAGGATAGGGACGTTACCCCACTAAGGTCCAAATGACCTGTACACTGCAATCCTAATGAAACTATGCATCACAGGGTAGGGGAGTTACTGCACTAAGGTCCTAATGACACACATACCACAACCCTAATCGAACAATGCATCTCGGAGTTAGGGACGTTATTCAACGAAGGCCCTAAAAACCTGTATACCCCAACCATAATCGAAATATGTGTCACGGGGTATGAGAGTTACTCCAATGAGGTACTAATGACCCGCATAACCCAATAAATGGTCTCCAAGACACAGCTAATTAGAGTGCACTCAAATAAGAAAATTAAACTCCAAGTGTTCCCTGTACCAATCCATACACACTTACTCCAACGGTTTCAATAAATTAGCAAACGCAATAATCAGGCCATCAATGATATTTTGCATAATTTATTGATTGCCTTAGATAATACTAGTTGTCTGTACTGTAGTCACTGTTATTATTGAGAAAACTAAAATGAGGCCTAACGTTACATTTTCTTACATTCATAGTACATAGCATACATAAATTTACTTCCAAATTTAAAGCTATACGTATTTACCTACCTATACATGTATTATTGACAAAGGCAAAACCGTTGTTACACGAACACATGTAATTTCCATCTAAAACGTAACATATTCCAGGGCCACAAATAGTTTCATTCTTGCATGTTGCATTTCCTGAAACTGAGAATAAGGGAATGTGTTGTAATCAATTATTAAAATCAGAGACACATTGGTGTCTGAACAAAAATTTATAGATTGGAAGATGAGCTTAAAACACTAACATTAATAATAATAATAATAATAATAATAATAATAATAATAATAATAATAATAATAATAATAATAATAATAATAATATAATTATATATAAATGTTGTAATAATTACAGTAACAGTAGAATATAATACTCATATAATTATTAGATATATTTAAAATTTCTGTTAATAATCCCACTAAAAAATGTGCATAAGTTAAATATAAAATATTGTATACATACCTATATATAATATTATATATATATGTGTGTGTGTGTGTGTGTGTGGCTGTGTGTGTGTGGGTGTTTGCGTGTGTATGTATATATATATATATATATATATATATATATATATATGTGTGTGTATGTGTATGTGTGTATGTAGGTGTGTGTATATATATATATATATATATATATATATATATATATATTATGA